CCCAACCTTCTTTCCGACTCCTTTTCTCCCTGCTTCTTTCTCTCTACTCCTTTTTTATCTCTTCTTTTCTTTTCTTTTTTCTTTTGAAAACCGGCCTAGGGTACTTCTCTCTACGGTATGATTCTTACGGGCCTAGGGTACTTCTCTCTACGGTACGATTCTTACGTTCCTATCTTCACCCGCCATTGTTCGCGCAAGCTGCGTAAAACCTTAACAGGGGCACACAGACTACTTCTCTCCTCCCTGCATCCCTCTCTGACCCCCTTTTTCCTACTATTTCTTCACCAGCAAAGGCCCGACATTGTCCCCAGTTTCCTTATTAAACTTGGCATGGGCGCCATCGCAAAGGGGAAACTTCTCCGATCGCCAGCAGCGGCAATACGCAACAAGCGGTTTGTCGAGTTCAGACGCAACAACGCTGTCAACGACCTGCAGACATAACAAAACAAAATTCCATGAAAAACATTTCTTTTTTTTTTCTGAAAAAAAAACTAGATGGGACAAAGAAAAAAAAACAAAAACAAACTCTATAAAAAAAATTTCCTTTTAAAAAAAAAAAAAAAAAAAAAAAAAAAAAAAAAAAAAAAAAAGACACGGGACAATGAGGCCCCGATCTCATTCATATAGGCGGGGGGCAACACATGCCTCAGGACGGCATCTGCAAATGATGCAAGCCCATTGCTTCACTTAGGGATCCGAACATGAGGGGCTTTTTCAACTTATCTGTAGGCGTGATTGAGGTCAGGTGCATCCAGGCTTGCCCGCAAAAGCAGATAGATACATCGAGGAAAGTCCTCGTGTGAGTATGCTTTACGCTGCAAGCTTCCAGAATGTATGTGACAGCATTCATGGCCAGATTCAGTCCCACACTCCAGACTGTATGCCCAAGCAACAAGACCTCAAAACAAATCCCAAGCAAGCCAAGCCCAGAACCTTGCTCCCCCTGTATCAATTTTTTTTTTTTCCTCTCTGTCTCTTCCCTACTTAATTCCGACACTAAGACCAAGTAAACTTGCCCTCGTAAAAAATAAATAAATAAATAAATAAATAAATAAAAAATTCCTTTACAGACTCCTGAGTGCCATTCTTGTGAAGTGAGTGAGGGCATACTCACACTAGCACTTTCCTAAATGTATTTGAGAACAATTGCAGCCCGACCTGGATGAATCTGGGCCGCAATCACGTCCACAGCCTGGTAGAAAAAGTCCTAGTGTGAATACACCCTGAGATAAGATGCTGACATATCCCGCAGACTGCAAAAAGAGAGTGGAGCCGGCCGGGAGAAGAAGAAGAAAGAGAGAAAAAAAAAGAGAGGTGATATTAAAGAGAGAAAAAAACAAGAGAGGTGATATTACCGTGATAACTCTCATCTTTGTATAAGGCGAGGAACATGTACAATAATTCCAAATGGCAATCTGGGGTAATTAATAATTACTAATTTTCCGTGCACCCGGGTACACTGCCCGGCTGCCCGGCTGCCCGGCTGGGCAGGACCCCTGGACAGGATCCTGGGAAGCCCCAGATCGTCGGAAAAAAAAAAAAGAAAAAAAAAAAGAGATAAGAACACGTCGTCATAATGTGACTTCCAATACCTTTCATAGCCCTTCGGGTAAAATCAAGTGTATTATTTGTTCTGATCAGTTTAATATCTGATCCAAAAACACACACACAAAAAAAAAAAAAAGAAAAGAAAGGGGACTTCCTAGAAAACCAGAGATTCTGAAGGGGTTATCCTGAAGAGAACGGGGGCGTGAGGAGAGAGAGAGAACCCCCTCTCCCCTCACGCCCAGAGCAGGGCTTATCCTGGACTTGAGCAGGACAAGCAAAGTGAAGGAGGCTTTAGTTAACTACTGAAAACGGGTGATAAGGTGTGTGACAGGCGAATCCGCAAACATGCGACAGTGTGACAGATGGCGGATAACAGTGTGTCAGATTGCCCAGCAGTTTTACACGTGGAGAAGATACATGAAGAGAGAGAGAGAGAGAGAGAGAGAGAGAGAGAGAGAGAGAGAGAGGGAGGATCGTGCTGACGTGTACAGTGATAACAACCTGCAAGGGTCGGTAAGAAGAGCACACTCATACTAGGACTTCCTGGATGTATCAGACACACAAACAGAGTCAGATTAAGTCGAGAAGTGCTACTGTGATGTTAGTATATCCTTCTAATACACGATATGAAACCACACTAGAAACCGCCTTGGAAAACGACCAAAAAAACAAAAGCAAGGGATACTTGCATGCGAACATAACGACTCCACGTTGGCTCATTCGCACGAAGCAAGGGTTATGATTCGCGGAAAGTGATCAAGAACCTGGCCGTCTTCGCGTCCAGGAGCATTCTACCATACACCCACGAAGAACGACAGGGGGAAGAGAGGTAGTAGAACCTCAGCTGCAGTTTCTTGGGGACACCCTTTAAAATCGGAACGATACAGAGAAAGAAGATTAGCATGGCCCGAGGAGAGGCACACACGTGAGGTTGTTGGGAAGAAGGGGCTTGCCTACATCAACGCCAGGTTAGTTACAAGAGAGCTCTTTTTTTTTTTTTTTTTTTTTTTTTTTTTTTTTTTT